TATTTACTTCAATAGCACATATTGATGTCAAGAATGAGGCTTCTTGCCTGATCGGGCAAGGCATATTGCCCGTTTCGGCAATAAATCCCTAGAAGATGCTTCTTCCCTACTCTGAAAAAACAAGCACCTCTCCACTGTAGGTAAGCGTCATCTTATGCAGTTTTTGATGCTCTTTCAAGTGGAATAAGTCTCTTTATGCGTCATCGCTTTCATTTCTGCGCTGATGCGTTGCGAGAGAAAAATGTGGAAATCTGGCCAAAAGGGGCAAGGTACTCCTTGCCCGATCTGACCATATTGCCTCTACGGGCAATATATCTTGCCAGAACGGGCAATATTGTCTCATCGGGCCAGAAGTCATGACAACGGACTGCCAGGAGACTATATAACAATATAATAACATTGCACAATGTTTTTGACGTCATTCCTGTGATCGCATAATACACAGAATACCCCTTTATTATCGTTAGCAGCAAAGGTACTAATATCACAAGGGAATCCTGAATTGCGCTACAGTATATTGATTAAGATATCAGAATATAGGTTTCAATTTTCCATAATCAAAATGAGACCCGTTAAATTCTGTTAAGCTATCAATTTACGCTCTGCGACTTTCTATCAGTAATGACGTCATCCTAATGACTACGCAATATTTGAGACACCCCCGATTTTAAGGTAAAAACCGTACGGGAAGTCTTAATTAAGAATACCAACTCAGTATCTCTGATAAACACAGATAGAGTCAAAAATTAACACTAAAAAGTCCAAAGTGACCCAAAGATAGAAAACTCTTTTAAAGGAATAACGCCCAATTAGTTAATTTAGCACGTATCACAGAATTACTGAATAGTACTACACAAATACTAGGAGCTACTACATATAACCACTAAAAGTTGCTTCAGCAGTATATTTATATATAACGACATAAAATTACAGGCAGTTAATTCTGCGTGTTTTTTTTAAAATGTTACACACATTTTACGTGTTTTATGTTTCTTTTTGAAAATGTTTAGAAAAATTTGCCACATGTTATCACAAGATTTCATTCTGTTGCATCATGGCAGTCGTTGTTCAGTATCGTAGATAGAAACTTTTCTGACTGAGACCATAAAAACGAAGTAACAACGAAAAAGAGAAAGTTCTAATTATGAAATTTAAAGTTATAGTAATCAAATTAAGTTATATTATTTAACGTTATAAAAGTTCTAATTATCAACTAACAAATTATTAATTATCAATCAAAATAAAGTTCAGAAAAACAGATTTACATACGACGCTATATTTAGAAATGCTTATGGTCATGTACAAAAAAATGTTCAAAACAAAGCAATTCTTCACACCAGCTACAACAAATAAATGAACTTTCAATACAAGCAGCTATTGAACAATAGTCATCGTCAAAGCAAAAACAAACTTCTTGTATATTTTCAAATTTGCCAGGATCTTCTGAGCGATAACCGCAGATATACCATGCATATTGGACCATTGGCCAAAATCTTCTTGATGCCAATTGATTATGTATAAGTGAATGCATCTTCAGAGTATTATTTCTTGAACGCATATCAATAGGTAACTGGTCAATCATTACTCGATCAAAACATTTCTGTCTTAAGTATTTCCACTGTCTAAATAAGTATTTATAACGTGGTTGTATGTCGGCTGTTATTTTCAGTGGAATATCCATTCTTTCACAAGTAATTTGGTCAGTAAATGCTTTTTCATAGCTCTCATCATCTGTTTGCTCCAACCATGAATCGACCAAAAGTGAACATTTCTGTTTTAATGAAGGTCTTAATACATTTCTTGCCCAATATTCAATATGAGATTTTGTCAATTTTCCTGATTTCCTGCACGTCACGTGGATATTTGGTGCTTGATATATTGTTTTTAAGACTCTTGGATCAAATTTTCCTGTTGATTCCTGTAGGAATATGAAAACAGGACCAACAACACAGTCGTCCATGCTAATTATAGGCATTATTGTATATGAATGGGTTACTACATTTTGTGATCATATAAGACCCAAAGTAGATTTTTTGCCTTTAAAAGAAAGCGTTCGAGTTGATGGTCTTTTGTACTGAAAACAGCTTTGATCTGCATTCAAAATATGTGTTGGACTATATTGGCATAATGAACTTTTAACTTTTTCAACGAACTTATTCGCCTCTTTTAGTATAGATGAACGATCTTTAACATGATGTTGTGTTACTAGCTTTGTTACTTTTCGACAAATAATATGAAATCGACGTTTAAAATTCGAAATCCGGTGCTTGGATGCAGTAAATCCAGTTACATTAACATCTTTTGCTTTTCGTATTGCTGTACGTTTAAGATCATTATCATGTATTGGAAGACATTTTTCTCTAGCTTGGACAAATTCAGAAAATACTAATTCATCTATTTGCTGAAGTTTTTGTTTTCTTGTGCCATGCGTATTCACGTATTTTCTGATTCTTCGTAGTTGTTGTCCATGTTTTACGAGGGTGAAGGGTGAGGGTAAGATGCGGTATCGACGATTTACAGCAGAAAATGTATGATTATTAGCAACCTGAACAATTTCACACGCTTTTTTATACGGATATATCTCATCTTCAATGATATTATCAGGCACTTCAGCGAATTCTTCTACATTTACATCTTCATCTTGTTCATCGTTATAATCGGCTGTTTCTAGTGTTTCTTCTTGTTTCATTTCTGTTGAATCGATCAACAGCTCGAATGTTAGCATGAGCTGATCCGCGATTTCATAATCTCTTGCGGAAATTTGAGTACAAGTATATTCTTCATATTTTTCATTTACAAGATTGCAAAACAGTTTTACAACGTTGGTTATATTGATCATTTAAGTGAAACGATGAGTTAAGACTGAGATTTTATGAAAAGATGTTATTAGATAACTCTTAATTATCAATTGGAGATTAAAACTTAGTTACGTTTAGGCTAAACAAATACAGTAGTGTAATGAAATATATGATCTTCTCTGACTGGCCACTTAACGTCACTGTTCTCCAAACATCATTCATCTCTCTCTCATTATGTATACGTTCAGCCCGAGAAAAAGCGAGCATTGTCACACCGAAGAAACTTTTGTAGATGCTGCTATTTTTCTTTGAAGATGGTTCCAGGGGAAAATTAATGGTATGCGTAGCCTTCTTGTCCGCTCTATGCCAATGTATATCAACATAAATCGCCACAAGTAGTTAACTCAGACTTATTGTTATTTCCGTATTATTGAGAAATTTTGAGTCTCGATAGCCGTCTTCTAAAGAAAGAGCATTTATTAGATAAATGCTAGTTACTGAACCTTTTTGATCAGATAAACAAACAGACACGCGAGATATTAAATTCGTTCTTTAAAGAGATGATGTAGGCTTGTGTGTGACTTTTTCTGATTTTAACGGTTTGAGTCTTTTGATTATTGGTACACCGAAACCAGTACAGATAAAATTAGATGTTTCTTTGACATAGTAAATAGCTGCAATGTGCTAACTCATTATATCATTTTAAAACCTAAAACAAAATGTTTGAAATTTTTTCGGTGTCGGTTTAAACCGAACATCGGTCTTTTCTTGTCGGTTTTTCGGTTTTGAAACCGAAACCGGTGCATACCTAGTTGTCACAACGACAGCCATGATGCAACAGAATGAAATCTTGTGATAACATGTGGCAAATTTTTCTAAACATTTTCAAAGAGAAACATAAAACAAGTGATATGTGTGCAACATTTTAAAAATCCTTTTACTAAACAATCAAACGCTCTCTGAACCTAGAACACATAATTTCATAGCTAAGGTGTTTATCTGTAGAATGGCATATTTATCAGCTCTACTGAACATTTCTATGAAAAGTTGCGATTTTTTCAAAATATGGTACTTTTCGCTACTATTAAAATAAAATGCTTATAATTCTTCAAGGATTCAACAAGCGCACGAATAGTTTTCAGATTCGTAATCAGCACCCTTAAATTACCAAAGTAGGGTACCTCTCATTAAATCCCAGCCGAATACCTGGGGACCTTCCCTCGTTAGTAGGAGTCCAGAGTTCGATTTATGAAAATTGGTTCTCCAAAATGCAAAGCTTCTTCTTCGAAACCGAATACTAATCCGTGCAGTGGTCAATCAAATTGAGTTGCCTGTTTCTGTATCAGACATTGTATTCGAGAGATATAAAGATCAATCAACCTTCGCAGGAACAAAAGCACGAAGTTCTTGTGAACAAACCTGCAGTTTCGCACGAAAAACACATCAAGTTCTTCTGAAGCAAGATGAAGTTTGGCAGGAAAAAAGATCAACTTCTTGTGCAGAAACATCGAGCTTCGCAGGAAACAAGATTGATTTCTCGTGAATATACATTGAGGGTCGCAGTTTTCGTGAACAAAGACCCAGTTCCGCTCGAAAAAAGATCAACTTCTTCTGCAGAAACATCGAGGTTAGCAGGAAAGAAAGTACGAAGTTCTTGAACAAACACAAGAATGTTCCGGCTAAACTGGATGTTGATTGACAAGAACTTCAACGTTCTTACTGCCAAATTGCATCTGGCTTTGACGAAGTTGATCTGTTTTCCTATGAAACTGTTTTCCTGCGAAGCTGTTGATTTATTTTCACGCGAACTGCGAACCTCAATGTATCTTCAGGAGAAATGTATCTTGTTTCCTGCGAAACTCAACCTTTCGCAAGAACTCGCTCAAGAACTCTTTTTTCGTGCGATAGTCCATGTTTGTTCACATGAATCTTCCTACTAAACTCCATGTTGCTTTGACGAAGTTGATCGTTTTTGGTGAGAAACTCCATGTTTGTTCAAGAAATTCGTGCTTTCTCTTCCTTGCGAAGCTCGATGTTTCTTTACAAGAACTTGATCTTTTTTCCTTGTATTACGGATTTCACGAGAAATTAATCCTCTTTGCTGTGAAAGTCGACGTTTCTTCACAACAAGTTGATAATTTTTTGCACACAACGCCATGTTTGTTCCCAGGACCTTCCGGGCCAAACTCGATGCTGCATCACAAGAAGCTCATATTTTTTCCTGCGAAACTCAACGAGTTGATGTTTTTGGGTGTGAATCTCCATGTTTCTTCACCAGAGCTTTATCTTTTTTCCTGGAAACGGCGATGTTTCTTCACAAGAACTTGATCTGTTTTCCTGCGGAACTGGGTCTTTGTTTACGAGAACTGCGCACAGCGATGTATCTTCAGGAGAAATCTATCTTATTCCCTGCGAAACTCGACTTTTCGCCACAAGAACTGGAATGTTTTTTCTGCTAAACTCCATCTTGCTTCACACGAAGTTGATCTTTTTTCCTGGAAACCCCGATGTATCTTCGCGAGAACACAACGTTTCTTCACAAGATATTGAACTTCTTTTGTGCGGAACTCCATGTTTGTTTATAAGAACTTTCGTGCCGAACTCGATGTAACTTGCGTAGAACTTCATGGGAACGTCCATGTACGTTCACAAGGACTAGAACGTTTTTCCTGCTAAACTCCATCTTGCTTCACACGAAGTTGATCTTTTTTTCTGCGAACCCCGATGTACTACGCATTTCTTCAGAAATTAATCCTTGTTGTCGCGAAAATCGACGTTTCTTCACATCAGGTTGATAATTTTTTGTGCAAAACTCCATGTTTGTTCGCAAGAACTTCCGGGGCAAACACGATGTTGCTTCACAAGAACTTTTTGTTCGTATAGTTTTTCATACGAACGCCCATGTACGTTCACAAGAACTGGTACGTTTTGTTTCTTCACAAGAAGTGGATCTTTTTTCCTGCGGACCCTCATATATTACGCATTTCACGAGAAATTAATCTTAATAAACAACAAGTTCGCACGAAACAAGATAGATTTCCTGTGAAGATACATTGATGTTCGGAGTTCTCGTGAACAAAGCCCCAGTTCTGCAGGAAAAGAGATCAAGTTCTTGTGAAGAAACATCGAGTTCTGGTAAACATACACCGGGGTTTGCAGGAAACGACATAAAGCTCTCTAGAAGAAACATGGAGTATCACACCAGAAAAAGATGAAGCTGTTCTGAAGAAACGTCGAGTTTTGCAGCAAGAACAATTAATTTCTCGTGAAGTGCGTAATACATCGGGACTCGCAGGAAAAAGCTCAACTTCATGTGAAGCAAGATGGAGCTTGACAGGAAAAACGTTCATGTTCTTGTCAAGCAACATCGAATTTGGTTCGAAAGTTCTTGCGAACAAACCTGGAGTTTCGCACAAAAAACACCAAGTTCTTGCGGCGAACGATGGAGTTTCGCAGGACAGAAGATAGATTTCTCGTGAAGATACATCGAGGTTCGCGGTTCTCGTGAATAAAGGCCTATTTCCGCAGGAAAACACAGCAAGTTCTTGTGAAGAAACATCGAGTTTGGCCCGAAAGTTCTGGTGAACAAACATGGAATTCCGCACAAAAAGAGATCTACTTGTCGTGAAGAAAGAAAGCACGAAGTTCTTGAACAAACATTGAGTTTCGCAGGAAAAACGATCAACCTCGTGTGAAACAAGATGGAGTTTGGGAGGGAAAACGTTGAAGTTCTTGTGAATCAACATATAGTTTGGCGTGAAAGTTCTGATGAACAAAGATGGAATTCAGAAATTAAGTTCATGTGAACAATCAAGTCGGAGCAGATATGAATAGTTCTTTGAACTAATGAGCTAACGAATGCCTTTTTATATGCTTTCGGCACGATACTATTGCATTTTATCATGCAATACGAGTCATTCCCATGGTATTTCTTTATCCTTTTTTATCGCAGTATATTGTTACAATACTAACGTAAGAAATTACGCGTTAGGGAATGGGACGCAAAAAGGTGCATAACATTCCTTATTGCAAAAAGCCGCGTTATCTCAATCTTTAACTAACGCAATTTCACGCAGTACTAAATGTGATGCAGTCTTTTGCGTGCGATTTTCTAACGCGTAATTTGTAATGTTGCAGTTTTACATTACAGGAAAGCTCTTGGTGCGTATGCAACGTGTCATCGGAATCGCCAATGATCGGTGCCCGAGCTGTGCTAAGCAATGCTCAGTTGTGCTCTGATATCCTTATTTTTTCTCTACCACACAAAGCTTTATTATTTTAAAACAATAATAATTTTTTTGCGATGCTCCACCCAAATATTTGTGTTGGGTTCTTCACAAAAATGAGAGAAAGAAACGAGTTCTTTCTTCGGGAAGTTAAATTGAGATACACATATATGTTTGATGAAATCCTTTAGGCGACAAAGCTTATCGAAAAAGCAAGGAAGAGACCTTAAGTAAATTTAGTCTGATTGCTGGAGTTTCTAAAACGTTGAAGAACATCAACAGACCACATCTTACCGGACTTTTCTTCGGGATGTGGTCCGTCTACAGTCCTTTTCCTTCGAAGCTACGATGAACATATATATTTGAAAATAAATAAGAAGACAGCATAAAACGATGTACAAAAATCACAAACAATACCGATTTTTGGTATTTTGAAGTATGCTTCAGGATTTTGTGTAATTCATTCAAGAAAAAGCTTCAACTTTCTTTGCTAAAGACAAAATCGTGTTTATTTCAGCTGGAAAGCATTTTTCTGAAGTGATGCCTATGAGAGAAAATGTAGAGAATGGAATTCTGCACAACTGAGAGTCCTTAGGAGGCAGTCGATTTATTCAAAAACGTTTTGTTTTCGAGATAAATCGTTTTCAATGTTTTTCTTCGAAAGTATCAGTGCTACTTATGCAAAAACAACTGCGAACTGATCAAATTTTACAGCAATTATTAAATGCCATGCTCCAATTTATAGTACCGAGTTGTTTTAAGAAAAATAACCCTGATATACGTTTGAAGAAAAACATTAAAAACGATTTATCTCGAAAACAAAACGTTCTTAGGTAAATCGACTGCCTTCTAAGGGTTTTCAGTTGTGCAGAATTTCATTCTCTACATTTTCTCTCATAGGCACCACCTCAGAACAATGCTTTCCAGCTGAGATAACCACGATTTTCTGTTTAGCAAAGAAAACATTTATGACGATCGTGTACGGCTGAACATAAAAGATCGCAGTATCCTTTTAGAAGGTTCGCGCTCAGCAAAAAGAAACTTTTCACAAAAGTTTAGTGTTTTTGCTTTGAATTCTATATCTAGAAAAAAGAAGCAGCAAAAATAAAAATAAATAACGATCATTCGCATAGGACATCAGCAAACAAAGCATGCTCTCAGCCTTCTCAAATAAAGGAGTCGAAAAGGCCTTTCTCTCTGACATCAGTATTTTCGGTATTCAAAATTCGTCAGTACCAGTATTTCAGTAAAATAAATCAGGTATAAACTGCAAAAAGTTCGAACATAAAGTGGTCTTCAAACCACTTTTAGAAATAAGTACCTTGTATATAATAACAGATACTGCTTTTTCGTCTCGTTTGAAATGATAAGAAAAACGTCGACATCTACAACGTGTGTATGAACAGTTTTAAATATTCGTTACTTTCCAGATAATTAAGATCAAGAATTTGATCAAATTTCGATAATTTTTGTTCGATTAATTCTTTGCTGCCACACTCGGAGCAAATCTGATTGACAATTAGATTAATATTTAATTCATTAATCCTACGTCGTACGCGGATTAATAGTCGTTTTCTCTTCTTTAGCTCGCTAAGTTGTGCAAAATTCAATAAAAATGATCCATAGGTTTGCTGATCTGAATTAAATAAAATACTGTCATAATTTGAAGATAATAATGATAAATCTTGGTTGAGTGTAAGTTCATTATTTAAATTTGATTCGAAAAGATCAATGTCTAGGGAATCGAATCCACTGTCATTGTCTCTGCCATGAAGATAGGAACATTTCATACTTTCGATAGTAAGTTTAAATAAAATAGTTTTTCCTTTCAATTTTAATGATTTGATCCGTTTTTCTATTTTTATGATAGTTTCGTTTAATGTATTTTCTAATCCGCTAAGTTTTTCTTGGTAATTCAGTTTTAATTTTTCAACGAACCCCATATCTTTTTTAAAGGAAATGGTTTTTTTTGTTCATCTTGATCGAAAGTTAATTCGATCATCATCCACATGATCCATTTGATCTTTTAATAAATTCATCGATTGTGTAATACTATTAGATATATTTGCGAGTTCTTTATTATTATTATTACCATTTGAGTTAAATGTTTTTTAATCTCATTTTCAATGGCTTTTTGTTTTTCTTCACATTTGCGATGAGTCTTAATGAGTCTTTAATTGTACATCAGTTGATTTTCCACTTATAATTTCCATTTCATAACTTTTCACAATTTTTTTCTTAAACTTAAAATTAACTTTGTATTCACCGAAAAATGAATCTTCTGTATCGACTAATTCAATATGTCCTCTATGAGCTTTATTTTTTGAGATATAATAACCTTTGACGTAGAGAATATCATTTCCATCAGATCCACCTTTTCCGCCTTGGCCAGGTAATCCTAACTCGCCGTTAGTATTCGATTTATCTTTTGATTCAATTATTTCCGCGAATTTCATAGTAATTAAGCGTTGATTTTCTTCAATATGAACATCACCAGCATGCCCGCCAAATGCACCTAAACCAGCATCAGCTCCTCTACCGCCATCTCCACCTCGTGTACCTTCTGTTCCTTTGGTTAAATGGTGACCATAAAAAGGAAAAAAGCGGACAGTATTATTTTTATGAACATCACCAGCATGACCTCCTCTACCGCCATCCCCACCTCGTGTACATTCTGTTCCTTTGATTAAATGGTGATCATCAAAAGAATAAAAAGGGACAGTATTTTCTTCACTCGCATCCGTTCCATCTTTTCCATTATGACCATTACCTGCATAACCACCACTGCCACCTTTACCACCATCACCTACTAATGTAATAAATTTTTCTATATTCATCTTTCCTCGAAATTCTTTGTTCGCAATGAAATAAATATTTCCACCATTTTTACCACGTTCACTAGGTAAACCACTGATACCATCTTCACTTTCTCTAGTGGCATGCTTTTGACGTTTAGCCTACTATAGGAGTGATGTTACCAAGCGACGTATCTGTAAAACATATCCGCCATAGGCGATGAAAGTGAGGCACAAACTTATCCATACCTTCAGTATAGGTGAAGTGGAAGAGCATCGTCTTTCATAATCAATCTGAGCAATGTTTAATCGATTGTTTTTACTTTCGAAAAATGTTTTTAATAGTTTACCTCGACTGTGATCGTAGTTGACCTCAGTCAAGCTGGGTATGTCAAATTTTTCAAATACTCGATTGACTTGTTTTTGGATAAATTCATCGTGATATCCGTTTAAAAATAGTGCCATTTGAATATATGCACGCTCTTTCATATATAGCATATAAGTAGAACTGTACCGAATGGCTTGAATAAGAGCTCCAAACGGTATATTACGCTTTATATGAAATGCATGAATACTTAGTGAAAGGGCAGGTAATAAGGCTCATGTGAAGGTTTATGGAAAACGCTGGTCACTAATAGCACGTTGTTATTCTTGATATTTACGTCTCAGAATTCTACTTCTTTACCAATAATAATTTAATTTGATGTTTTCCTTGTCCATTCGGTTCCAATGTAATAGCCAAGCCTGAATTTGAATTTCAGAGGCGCGGTATGCTATGATTATGTCATCAATATATCGGTAATATAGGCCTTTTTCGATGCCGAATATAGTCTTCTGCATCGGTCTTTCAAAGAAGTAGATGTATACATTAGCAAGGATGAGTGTGAATGGGGAACCCATTGCTCCGCCCCGGCTCTGTCGATAGTAAACTCCACTGTAGAAAAAATAATTATTCTCAAGTACAAACTGTGCCATTTCCAAGCTCGTTTCGATCGGAATGCTTGCAATTTGTTTTACTTTGAGAATCTGTGGCATCTTTCTAATTGTTTCTAATCCACCCTTTTGTGGGACCATTGTATATAAATCTGACACATCGATCGTAACGAATATAGTATCAATCTGTTAGTTTAAATTTCGCCCATTTCCATAACCGCTCGACCAAATAGATATCTCCCGTAATCGACAACCCTTTAACCATTGCATCAAACAAAGGTCGAAGATGTTGATCAAAAAATTTTGAGATTTTCATAGATGGAGAGTTAATTCCAGCAAGTATGGGTCTCAACGGAGTATTCGGTTTATGAGCATTTGGCAAAAAATACAAATGTGCCAATTCGGCTGAGACTGGATCGACTGACATGTCCTCTACATGTTTTTGTGTTATTCTGTTTTCTTGCCATAGACGGCGCAGAAAATGATTAGTTTTGACAACTAACTCTTGTTATCGGTTTTTATCCTCTATTACCTCATATGCATTAGTTTTTATCATGCATATGCACATTTTATCATGCATATGCACATTTTATCATGCATATGCACATTTTATCATGCATATGCACATTTTATCATGCATATGCACATTTTATCATGCATATGCACATTTTATCAAGCACGGATATCGGTATCCATATCGAAATACCGATACCGAAAATATCGACTTTTTTCGATTTAGACTCTTCTGGATTTTCTCATCTGAAATGAGACAGTTTAGCGTCATGGACAGTCAGAACACAAAAAACATTCGGCTGGATACTGTGAGCATGTGTAAGAACAAACAAGTTTTTATCCCCTGTTTATAAAAACTTGCAAATACCGATGTAAAAACTTGGTCGAGCGGTTACGGAAATGGGCGAAATTTAAACTAACAGATTGATACTATATTCGTTACGATCGATGTGTCAGATTTATAAAGCATATATGGGCATGGCCAAGCGTGACGGAATTTCATTTTTTCGTATGGTAACATATATATCTCCTCCGCAATTCTTGCAAACGCAATGAAATTGTCACCATAAATAGAGCTTAGTTAGCTTTATTAATTGTAATCATTTTATTTCTTTTTCTTCCGCCAGAGCTGAGTTTTTTAGAAAATATTGTCCGTTACGGAATTTCAAAAAATACAATTTTTTTCTAGAGCAGCTGAGAGTTTCATAGTTTACTCTAAAACAATATAACGTTCAAATAAACCTTCTGTATAAAAGCCGTTCAGCTTCAAACGAGCTTTCGAAATGTCAGATTATTTATTAAAAGACATGGCTACATTAACTGAAAATTTACGAATACTATTTGTGACGCAATTTCATCTTTTTTCAAAAAGATACAATCAGACAAGCATCGGTTCCCAATCCACTCATCCCTAGACTGAGTCTGTATCACCTCAGACGAAGTGATCTCTCATTGGCGTGTGACAGATTCCAAAGCACTTTCTACGATGCTTTAGATCTTCACAAACTTCCTGTTTTCTGTCCCAATGGGATATTCTGTACTAAAATTCCGTGTCTGAAGATAGAAAGCCTAGGAATATTTTGCGAGGTCTATCGATGGCTTCCGGGGTGAAAGATAATAGAAGTTATTCTCTGTATGAGTCGCCAGTCGATGCTTATTCGTCATTTTGACTCAAACAGCTTTCTGAGATAGATTTATCTGCACAGTGACACAATCGACCATGGCATTGTCGCCAACAAAAAAGCTCGTCCTCATAACCATTGCCGTCATAACTGATGAAAAAGCAGAACTATCCGATCGGCACATAAGTTCTGCACGTTTTTTAATTTTTTGGGCAAATGTAGGACTTAATATCTCGTGTCTGGAAAGCAATAGAGGTCTGAAATTTTTAGTATAGATAGACCGCAATGGGCTCTGTCTACACTAAAACTTTCTACAATTAAACTTCAGTTTAGGGACGAGTGAATCGGAAGCCGATGAACGTTACACCCTCACCCTCACCCCCACCCTCACCGTGCCGATTTAATATGATGGTTGAGGAGTCAAGCCTTGAGATGGTTGGTCGGAATGAATCAGTGAGTCAGCGAAAATAGCAGAGAGGCGCCAAAATGATCAATGAAGAGAGAAAATCAGCAAAAAGAGAGATTGACAGGGATTTCATTCTTTTCAAGGCAAATAAGTCTCTGATCGGGCCCCAAAAGCCATTTGACCAGTGGTGGTTTTCAAAGCATGTTGTAGACAGACACCAAAATGTTTCCTTTACCGTCGTACAGACCCTAGACTACCGTCTGGGAAATACAAGTAACGTTCATCGGCTTCCGATTCACTCGTCCGTAAACTGAAGTTTAATTCAACCGCCTTTAGTACATGAACATGTTTTCCTTTCAAGATCGACGAGGGATTCCAATTTCCTCACGATGTTTTCTAGCACCCAAGCTCTAACTTTTCTATATGACTAGGAAACCTTCTTTGAACTGTAGAAGCTACTCGACCACGTCTCTGGGATAACCTAAAGATGATAAAACACCTTTCAATCATTGACATGAAATCAGCGATCAACCAAGAGATGGATTGAGGTCTCAAAACCGTGTTCTCCACAGACAGAGGGGCAGTAAACTCGAATGAGTCATAGCACTCGATATTCGCAGGAAAAACGAAAAGGTGCGAAAGTGAGCAATCTATAGAGAAAGAGAGATCCTTTTTCATCTGACGGCATAAAAACCTTTACTCTCTATCACCCGACAACAGATTCCACTGTGGTTTTTAAAACGTGTTACAGACAGACAGACAAAATACATAACTTCCGTCTGACAGACCCTATCCTTTCAGTTTAGGAAATGTTGACGAATGTCCTGTTTTTATAAGATATTTGCCATATCAAAACTAGACTTTAGTCTATTGGCAAAAGCTCAGTTTATATTCGGGCGATAATCCAACGAAAACTGAATTTCCGTCAATTGGCGAAAGTGAACTGCGAAGATCAGTACTGCGAACTTCGTGTTTCCCCTTTATAATCAGTTAATCACTAATTAATAATTAATTAGTCAAAACTAACCACAGATTTGAACTTCCCACCATCGAAAACTATTTGGTGAAGTTTTATAGAAAATAAACCCTTTCATTTACACATTAATCTTAGACCAATCTGTGAAGTGCAGACACACAAGGAAACAATTTATGTTTGTAAGACTCTACTCTACGAGAATGAGAATATTGATAAGATTTGATGTCAACTCTAAAGAAGTTTTCATGAAACACTCATATTATTCATGTACTTTCGAAATATCTAATAGAAATGAGTCAATTCAGCTTGATAAATAAGAAAAAAGTAGCGTCATATTTTTGTTTGTAATTATGCAAGACTTGAAATTGCTTAATTCTTTGAGTATGCTTTGTATCTGTATGTATATAAAGCACTACTTTATGTGCAGAAGTTTAGCTTTTGACGATGACTTCACTTGATTTCAATTACGCCGAACCGATCGCTTCGTCCGACAGTGCGTCTGATTCCGATATGGATTCAACTCCAGAACGTGTCGGTGCAGTTCACAAGTCAGATCATGTCGTGCTCAATGGACGTCCCGTCAAAGTAGTTGAAGTATCACATTCAAAGCCAGGAAAACATGGTCATGCAAAGGTTAGTTAACAATTTGTGTCTCTTTTTTCATCTTTAATTTGATCTTCTTCAGGTTCATTTAGTTGGTATTGACATCTTTACAAGCCGTCGGTATGAAGATGTTCGTCCAGTTGGACATATGATTCAAGTGCCAAATATTCAGAAAAAAGAATATACCATTGTTGACCTCACTGAATGTGATTCTATAACGTTACGTGATGATAATACAGGTAAAACACGTAATGATTTAAAATTAAAAGAAGATTCGGAGATCACCGCTCGAATCCTCGACAAATACAAAGAAGGGAAAGGCCGGATAAAAGTTACTGTTTTCAAGGCGCTCGGCGAAGAGCAAATCAAAACATTTAAAGTAATAGAGTAGTGTCGATGAATATATACTCATGTCCATATAACACTAAAATCAACAGTATAAGAAAAAAACTATTTTTTAAAATTTTTATTTGAAAATAAAGATTCATCAATTTGCGTTTAACTCACATTCTTGTTGAACTTGAATTTTAACTAATTTTTGGCCTGAAAAACATTCCAGAATAGCGTATGATACTCTGATATTTTCGAATAATATTCGTATCTCTACAATAGGAGAAGAGAGTACGAGATCTACTACAAATGTGAAATAATATAACGAATAACATTCAAGTGATAATCTCAGGGTGGGTGAGGGTGATCAATGAGAACTAAATACGGATTTTGTCCTCGTTTTCTGGACAAATCTCTAAGACTCTTCTTACCAAGTTCCACCGATGTATGAAAGGAAGGGGCGCATAAGGTGCTTGTAGCGGCTAACGGTATTTTTTCTGTAAAAACGCACTCAGTTCGATTTCCTTTGACGTATTCTGATAGAACTAGTTGCGACGACTCGAAATCTGTCTGGGTTAGATAACTGAAGTAGACTTTTGACCGAGAAACATCGCCTGCAAAAGCGTTGTTTTTGGTGGCTGTAACTTTCTTAAAACGCACTGATGAAGCCCTCGGCCGGACACTAAACGATAGCATTTTTCAAGGGCTAAAAAACTGCCAGCGGGACCTGCCCTTCATCTTCCTGCCCAAAACTGCTAGGGAGCTCGGAAACGTCTTGACCATGGTTTCAGCTGTTTTTTCGACTTCTGCGAGACTATAATTCTCTTAAAACTCACCAATGACGAACGCTGCTAAGTATTACCCGAAAGTGTTTTAAAAGGGCTACAAAATCGCCCGAGAAACCTACCCTCGATTTTACTGGTCAAAATTTTTCCGGGCCAGATATCGTGGAAATGGTCCATTTTAGGGTATGCAAACTTGTGGGGATCACCATAGACTGTTGATGAACGAGTCATTTAACCAGTACTAGATGCAGTTTTTCACGCTCTACAACTTCCATATCATAGCAGCTCTCCGCATTATCGACCAAACATCTGGTCATAGTTTCATCTATGAATCCTGTTGAAGCACTCGCTCGATCCGCGTCAGATAC